GGGGCGGGGGGGGGGTGGGGCACCCCGCCGGCCCCGCGTCCGCTCGCTCCCTTGCCTCGCCGAGGCCATTCCCGGGCTCCTGCGGGGAGGAGAGCCCTGAGTGAGGGTCCCCTCGGGGCCGGACGAGCTCAAGGTTTGGGCATCCCCCCCCAGGTGATGCACAGCCTGAGGGCAGGACGGTGCCTTGCCAGCCGTCCCGCACAACCCCTCTATTTGCTGCCGGCTTTGATTACAATATCCAAACAACTTGGCAAGGATTTTTGCATCATTTTCTGTCTCCCAGCAGCACACGAGATTAGCCCCGGCAGCGCTTGGGGCACGTGCGTGTTTGCAGCCCCTTTCCCTGGGACTTCACGGTCGGCACCGTGTAAACAAGGAGCCTTCAGAGATGTTTTTGCAGCATCTCTTTGCCCCACGCATCCCCCGAGAAAGCCCTTCTGCTGCAAGAAGGGGCTCTCGGGGATTAATTATCCCTGCGGCACCAGCTACAGCCGAGCGGTCGAGCCGTTTCCAGCCTCCACATTTGCCCGTTTCCACCTTCTCCTGCCTTCTGCCCGCCGCCCCACGGAGGGTTTCGGCGGTGGGCAGAGTAACTCTGCTCCTCCCAGGGGCTTTGGGACCTTTGGGAGGATTGAAGTGAAGCTGCAAGGGAAGGTGCAGGCAGGAGAGAGCAGGTCAGCTCCCCCCCAGACACGTACAAATCGCAGCCAGACAAACTAAAATTCCCATCGCGTCGCACGCCTCATTAGAGGGTTGAAGGGTTTAAAGCTTTAACTCACAACGAGCGTTTCTTTCCAGAATTCCTGCAAGAAGATGAGCACTTCGGGCATGTCACCCCGGTGCGGATGCGCTGCCCTGAAGGCAGATGGCTGCAACTGGGGGGGTGTGGGGGGTGTGTTAATCCTGGATTTCCATTTGCAGAGCGAAAGCCACCAGCTGCTTTGGAAAGACCACGACCCCACAGGACGGACAAGTCCTATCAACGGACCCACCACCCCCCCCGAAAACCACAGGACACCGCAAGCCCTCCCTACCTCGCCCAGGTTTCGCGCCTGCAGCAAAGCCTCCGTCCTCCTCATCTTCTCCAGCTCGATCTCCCTGGCGATGAGCTGCTTGGCCTGGTAGGTCAACTGCCTGCGAGCCGGCAGGTCCGGGAACCGGCAGACGTCCTCCACGTTCCTGCACCGCGGAGGAGGGGAAGCGGAGAAAATAAATCAATACTGAAAAATAAAAAAAGCATTATGCAAACTGCAGCCTGACACGGGCACGGAGAGACCCGCCACCCTCCCAGCCCCGTCCCCCCCAGCCTCTCGGTACGATCCTGACCATGGTGCCTCAGTTTCCCCATCGCTGCCCTCTCCGAGTCTGCGTGTGCGACAGCGCTCTAGAAGATGCCCAGCAAGCGGTGCCGGCCGTGCGGAGCCAGGTTGCTGCAGGGCATCTCAGCTGCATGGGAACTCAGGAGGGATTATGTGCTTTTTAATCTTGGTTTTAATGCAAGAAGAGGAAATTGCAGGCGGGTCTGTGCCGAACAGATTGCCCTGAAAAAGCCACAGCCACATCACAGCTTGGGCACAAGCAGCACCACAACCCTTCGCATGAACCCCCGGGGTGCACGCAGAGAGCCGTTTAATTGAGATATGGCCATGAACAGTAATTTTGGCTAATCAGAACAGCTTTATTCTTAATGGGTTGGTGCACCACATCTAGAGTTGGGCCTGTTTCAGCACAGCAAAAGCCCAGGCGCAGCCCCAGCACGGAGGGGCCAGCTGGGCCGGCTCCTCTGCCAGCTGTAAATATTTCATGCTTTATTCACATTCAATATTATTCCCCTTAAAATAAAGGGAACAAAGTCGTCTCGTCAGACGGCTTTGCAGTCATTTAGAAATTGGCTGTCAAACCTACGATTTAAAAAGTTTTAAAGAGAAAACACAGGTTTCGTTGTTGACAACAACTCCGTTTGCCAGAGAGACGCTGGGACGTGACTCGCAGGTGCCACCGGGACGTGACACCCCCACGGTCCCCGTCATCGCTGTGCAGAGCCTGGAAACTGGCTCAGAATTCGCAAAAAAAAGCAAAGCAAAGCGAAGCGAAGCACCGCGCCTGCTTGCGCCACGTGGCTCCCAGTGTCCCACGGTTTCCCCACAGCCGTGGGGCACAGCCTGGCACGGGGAGGGCAAGAGAGGACGGCTCTCGGCAGCCCCTGCAGCTCCCCAGGCCTTTCTGTGGCAAAAAAAATAAATAAATAAAGCGCTTCACTGTAATTAGATACAGCTGCTTGATTTAACAGAGGCTAATTTTTGTAATTAACTTTGCACCAGGAAGACATTAGCGTTGCTCCTAGCGGTGGTCAGGTCTTCACCGAAGCCTCAGGGGCGTTTATGGCTCTGTATATACTTAAAGCACAATGAGCCTCAAGTCTACCAATGGCCAGCTATTACTATACAAATTAACCACGGCTACAGGGACCTCCTGTGCGCAACGTGCCCAGATGGACCTGCTCTCCCCGGCTGCCACGAGCCCCCGGCAGCTTTGGTCCCTCCTCTGCTGGCTCTGGTAACACCCAAAAGCAGCTGCTTCCTTTCCTTTAATCCCATTAGAGCAAAGCCAGCCCTGCTTCGGCCTGCTGGGCTCCTCCTTTAAAAAAAAAACGAGGCAAAAAAGCAGATAATCCCCACAGAGCCACCATCAGAGAAAGCGGGCTCCCTGCGGCCATCCCGGCACGGGCAGCTCACGCCAACCCAGCTGCCGTCGCCGGAGAGACCTCTGGCTGCAAGAAACCAACTCAACACCGTGATGCCTTCAGGCTCAAACTCCTTCCCGAATTCTCTGCTGTTACTTTCGACCCCTACACCTTCTCCTCACCCTCGGGACTTACGGGTCGAGCTTGTAGACGTACTGGCCCTCGGGCAGGCGCTCCTGGTGGTAGGTGAGGTTGTAGGCCAGCATGGTGCTGATGAGGTCTGCCAGCTGCTGCTTCTCCTTCAGGCTGTAGAGCTGCGTGTTCACCTGGGGCGAAGAGCGGGAGAGCATCACTAATCCATAATAACTTCTAAACATAAAAATAACCTGGATTATGAGAAAGGACAGTTAATACCCGCGAGGTTCAGACCAAGTTTAGTTTCCTATTAGGGACACACGTACTTCACAGAGCAGGGACAGTCCCTTCTGATGGCCCAAAGGGTAAATGCACCCAACGCAACCATGCCTGCAGGTGAATCTGCTGCCGAAAGGAGACTGCTACAGCCCCCCAAACCCCTGCTCAGCCCAAGCCCACCCCCGGGTGTCTGGGAGGTGCAGGACACCCCCCCCCCACCGTGCACCCAGCACAGGTCTCTCAGTGCTGCATGCCCGTCTTCCCTCCGGCTTCTGCATCAGCTGCAACGTTAAACCGACCCCGAATTTGGGACAGAGGTCTGGGATAGCTCAGCCTGGGCGATGCAGCACAGGGGACGTGTCCCAGCCCTCATGGGGGGGTTTGCAGAGGGGACACGTCACCCGGGCAGAACTCCTGCCACCGTAGCGAGAGGGAGCCGGTGGGCACTCACCGGTCGGAGCTTCGGGGCGATGATGTCCAGCAGCAGGCAGAGGACCTCCAAGACAAGAGACTGCTGCCCCGCGCGGCTGCGGGCGCTGGGCGTTATCCCCGACACCATGGACATGACAAGGTTCTGCATGTGGTTCAGCTTGGCCAGGGCCTGGGTGGAGAGGGCAGGGACAGCTCAGCCACGACTGCAACCACGGACGTCCCCGCAGGTGACAGAGCTGGAGTCACGCTGCTGCTGTGCCCTGCCCGGTACTTGCCTCGTGCTGGCTGCTGGGATAAGCGAGCCGGGGGATGCTGGTGGCCGCGAAGAGCAGGTGGAAAGCCACGGGCAGGAAAGGCACGTATCGCATCAGATGGAAGCTCTGCCCGTGCAGGACAGCGCGGCTCAGCAGGTCGGAGAAGCCCAGCCACTCCAGGGCCAAACACACCGAGCCGAAACTGGAGTCCCGCAGCTTCATGTTCAGGAAATTGTCATACAGACCCTGGAAGTGGATGCCGATCACAGACGGCTCGAGGCTGGGCAGACAGTCCCATCAGAGCATGCCGCTGGGACTTCGAGCATCCCACTGAGCTCAGCTTCAGCACAACACAGCAGAGGAAGGTGCCCGGCTCTCCCCCTTGGCTGCTCTACCTGTGCGAGCTTCTCCTGCTCCCCCGAGGAGATGGCGAGGTGCAGGATGTGGTGGAAGCGGTGGGAGGATGCGTTGAAGCCAGCCGTCCCCCTGAGGTGCGACAGGTCCTCATCGCCCACCAGGAGCTGGGTTGGCAAAGCGGGGTCCATCCCTATCCTGTGCCTGGGGGGAGCCCAAACAGAAGAGCTCAGGGTGCCCCGACGCTAAAGGGACCAGCGAGGAATATTTGGACCCTTGCAAACTGGACTGAAGGCAATACCGATGCCAAATTATTGGGCACTAAAGAGGGCGGCCAAAGAGCATCTGGACACACAGATCTGCTAAAACGAAGCCGGGTCTGCTACAGGGCAGAACAGCTCTCCAGGACCTGAAAGGTTTCTCCACCGCAGGTCTTGCAAGCAGGTCAGGGGATACCACGAAGCAGTGTGCCCCAAGCAGACACCAGACCTAATAAATCCCCCCCCCCTTTTACCTTTGGACCCTTGGGAGCTGGAAGATATCTTGCCAGATGGAGAAGAGCCCCTTGTTTTGGTCCTTCAAGCCGATCTTCATCGTCTGCACCATCTGCACGCTCAGTTCCTTCTGGCCTCGGCCGTGCAGGAACTGCAACACAAGTGAGGGGCTGGGGAGGACGGGCACCGCCGGGAGGGAGGGGATGCCCGCAACAGCTAGCTGGTGCTGAGGAAAGCCAGAGACAGAGGCACCTCGCTATTCCTCGCTTTGTAGGGGAATCAAGGTTAAAAATAACACAGGGGACAGGGTGGACATTTTAGGGATCTGCCTGGGACACAGTGTTTTTTCCCCTCCATCCCCATCCGAGCCCAGATCAAGACAAGAGCCGCAGCAAGTCTGTGTCCCCCAGAGACCTCCCGGCGACACCAGTACCTGCAGGGTGTTTATGCAGGAGCGGATGTCGTTCTCCGTCTTCTCGCACAGCGCCAGCAGCGCGCCCGTGTCCGCCCGCATGCCCTGCCGCAGGGCGATCTGCAGGAGAGGGGGGTCAGCAGGGAGGGCCTGCCGGTCAGGGAGGCGGGGGGGAACACGAGAGGAGCCCTCAGCCACGCCGCACCTCGCAGAGCCGCTGGGCGAGCCGGGACGGCGCTGTCCGAGGGAAGTTTAGCAGGAACGATTGCTGCCGCAGCGGCCGGAGGGCAGGAACGTACCTGGCAAAGGGAAGCACAGGGGTCTCTGAGCGACCCTAGCAAAGGAAGAAATCCAGCTATTAATGCTCCGCTCAAAGAGAGACAGGTTATTTAGCAGCTGCCTGTACACCACTGCACGCTTGGGCATGCACAATCGCGACCGTACACTCACACCTAGCTACAAGTCACCCCAGCAGATACAAAACCTGGGGGGTTTCAGGAAAGCTGAGCATGTTGTAGTTTTACTTTTCATAAGGTACTTCTAAGCCACAGGTCTGACAGCAGAGAACTCGGCACAGGAAGGCTTTGGCTGGAGGCAACAGCAGCCGCCTCCTCGCTTGGGGCAAGGGTCTCAGCTCCCCATCCCTCCCCGGACACGCAGGCGATACTAACTGGTCGTTGCAGATGCAGATGATGGGCCTTAGCAGCAGCCCGCCCTCGCGCCGCCTCCTCCGGCCCGCGCCAGCCGCCGCCTCGCCCTCCCCGTCCTTACGGTGGATGATGTTTAGCAGCACGTTGATAGATGCCTTGGGGGGAGGAGGGGGGGATAAATCAAGGACAGAAGGGATGAATTCTTGCTGTTCAGAGGCAAGAAACGACTCCTAAAACGGAGCCGGGGATGATCCACTAAGAGGGCAATAATTAAGCTGTTAACGTAAAAGGTGGCTAGACCCAGGCTGGGCTTACTGCGGGCGCGCCGTCTATCTCATCGATGATCAGGCAGTTGGGCTTCTCGTTGGCACCCAGCACAGACTTCATCTGGGTGGCAGCTTCGATGCGGGTTTTGAAAACCTCGGGGCTGCGGTCGTCACTGCCAAGACAAGCCGGTGCCAGGCTGCTGCGGCTCGGCACCACCCCCCGCACGGCACCCCGCACGGCACCACCTCCGGCACGGCACCACCTCCGGCACGGCACCACCTCCGGCACCTTCTGGGGCAGGGCAGGGCTGGGCAGTCGGCGCAGACTCACCTGGCGTTCATCTCGACGGCGTTGTACCCCACGTGCTTCGCGATGACGTGGGCCAGCGTGGTCTTTCCCAAGCCCGGCGGGCCACAGAGCAGGGCTACCTGCGGCAGAGAGGTAACGTCAGCCCGGCAGGCAGCGAGGCAGGGCTTCCTCCGGCACCGACCAAGGCCGCCACGCGCGGGGACGAGGCTCTGCAGCCTGCAAACCGGTCTGCTTCAACCTGTGGGAGAAACCCTCTGAGAAAAGAGAAAGTCACTGGAAGAAAGAGAATATAACAGAAACTCTCAGAGGTGACGGAGTCATCCTGGCAGCATCTCTCATGCACACATTTAAGTTTGCAGGGCAATAAATAGAAAAGGCTGAACAAAATCCCTTCCAGAATTACGCTCCTGAGAAGCACAGCTGTTAGTATCTGGGTTTGTTTCCCCTTTTTCATATCCCCTCACTGGACAGGCTGAAGCTGGTTAGCTGGCCTGGGTGTGTTATCTCTGCTCCCTTTAGCATTTGAGCACCATTGCTCTTTTCCAGATGCAGAAACTCTTGCTCAAAGGCACGGCACGTCTGCCCCAAACAAATAAAGTTAAGACCAGCCTCTGCTAAAAAGGGTACGTCTTTCTTCAACCAGCCCATTTAATTTGGCTGGAGAAAGCCTGTTCCCCTCCCCTTGTTATCACATTACTTGAGCCAAAACAAAAAAAGAAATGAGAAAACCCCATAATTGCTACCGAGAAACAAGGAATCCAATTTCTGTTAGATCTGTACTGGAAGACCCTGCTCCTCACCAAGCGGTGGGATGAGAGGGATAGGAGAGGAGACCCACCACAGCGGCCTCCTGTCCTGCTCACCTTGTATTTGGGTCTCTTGTGCTGGTCCAGCTCAGCCTCCAGAATCTCCTCTGTGAGCTGGACCTTCGTTTTCCATTTATTCTGCTGCTCCTTGGGCTGGTTGGATGGAGGATGAGCCTCAGCGCTGGGCTTGGCCTTCTTCACAGCCTTCTCCTTCCCGAACACCACCGTGTCCCAGAGCTTGAGCCACTTCAGAAGGCAGCGGTTCGTGTACTGTGTGTTGACCAAGAAAGCAAGCACACCCTGTTGAACCTCAGAAGGATCTGGCCGAGGACAGAGAAAGGCCTCTCCTTCATGGCTTAAAAACCAGCGTGGCGTGCAGAGGAAGGAGCCAAGCCCAGGGGGGCAACGCGGAGCGTGTCTGCCCAGACAGACCTCGAGCGCACGGCAGAAGGATCGGCCGAGGACAGAGAAAGGCCTCTCCTTCATGGCTTAAAAACCAGCGTGGCGTGCAGAGGAAGGAGCCAAGCCCAGGGGGGCAACGCGGAGCGTGTCTGCCCAGACAGACCTCGAGCGCACGGCAGGTCGCCTCCCGCCATGGGAGAGGCTGCCCAGGTTTCCACCCGGCATCTCTGTGGGACAGCCTGGGAATGCGGCTTCCCTTCCCAACTCAGCCACCATCCCGTGGGGCAACTGGGGACAAGTCACATCAGCCCCATCCCTGCTGTCCCTCGTCTGTCTCGGCTCAGCCCAGCGCTTTTCAGCCTCTTCCGTAATTTCCGATTCCCTACAAAACTTCTAATATTCCAAAAAAATCGAAATTGCTAACCATTCCTGGCTAAAGTCCACCCAATCTTTTTTGTCTTATTTTGGTCATCTTTCATAGTCTCTTTTGTTGGAAGGTCCACAGCCTACAGCTGAAAAACCCCCACCCCAAGCTCTCCGCAGCAGGACTGCCCCCGGGCAGGGCTAGCACGGACAGAGCCCCCCAGCCAGCGCTTCCGAAAGCCCCACGAGCAAAGGCAGCACCGTAAAACCACGATCCCACAGCATTAAGGAGGGTTATAAAAGTGGCAAGCCCACCTGAACCCCAAGCCCCCACTTATGCTAGAACCTCACATCATCGCTGAGCAGCTCCATGTAGCGCCGGGGAGTAAACTTGTCCACCCAGAGGCAATGCAGCGCAGACTCCTCCTCGTCTGCCGGCTCCGCTTCCCCGCTGGGCTCCGGGCTCTCGGCGCTGGTTTCGCTCTCGAGGCAACTGCAAGAAAGAATTAACTTGCCCCAAACCACCCAGGGAGTCGGGGCAGGGCTGGGAATCACACCCCAACTTTCCGAGCTGGGGATGCTGAGGGTGAAGAGGCTCCTCTGCTCGCAGGTCCCCAAAACTTGGACCCCACCGGAGCATCTCGGGAGCCGTGTCCGACAGCGTGGCAGGGATAGGAGTGGGATTTCGTCCCAACATCTCACCTGTTTATTATCTCCGTCAGCTGCTGCGACGCCTCCAGAACACGCCTTCGACGCTTGAGCACAAAGAGGGCGAGAGGGGGGGCTCAGAGACGCCCTGCTAACCCACGGCTGGGGGGAGCGGGGATTCGGGAGCCAACACTGCAGTTATCCAGGGGTGGCAGGGGAAGACGGGAAGGTCAGTATAAGATGCGATACCTCTTCATCTACTTGTTCCTTCAGGTAGGAGAAAGGCACCCCCAGCAAGTGGAGCGGCCTGCGTGCGTTCCAGCCCAGGGAATCAGGGAGCTGCGAGGAGCAGAGGACACACACCAACGTTCACACCGATGCTCAGCACAAACATTTCGTGCTTCATCAAAGATCGCCTCCTGAACTGGATGGAGGTCACAAAGAAGCAAGCCAGGCCTTCAGATCCCTCCTTACCTCCACCCCCATCCTGGAGGGATCATCCCTCACAACCATGAAGACCCTGGTGCCCTCGGTGGATGTCACGTTGATGTAGTCCTCCAGGATCGGTGGCCGCTTGAGGACCCGCTTCTTCTCGGAGGGCGGCGTGGTCTGCAGCGGGGCCATGCCACTCATCTCCAGGTGGACCGAGCTGGAGAACACCAGGTTCCTTTAGCAGGGGCGAGGGAAAGGGCCCTTGAACCCCACCGAAGGTTGGTTCTGGCAGTCTGGGGAGGTGCCTCTGGGCCGGGCGCAAACGTGCCAGCATCCCAGAGGACATCAGGAGCCAACTCATCATCCGCACCAAAACTGAGCTTCTTAACAGCTTCCAGGCGCTGTCGCTTCGGCTTCGGGGCTGCGCGAGACGCCAGGGCAGGAGGAAGAAGAGGAGAAGCATCGTTGACCGAAGGGCAGCACCCCGCACCGCTCGGGGCCGAGGCGGGGAGAGGGGTCGGCAGCACCAGGCGACCCATTGGGGCTGCAAGACCTCCAACAAACCCGGCTTGAGCCAAACCTGCTGGGGACTGTGGCGGGGAGCCGGGTGGGACGCAGCCCCGGTCCCTCTTCCTGGGGTTGGTGCCCCCCGGGCCGCTGCCCCCGACGGGGTCCCCGGGGGGGT